CCAGAGACAGGATCCAAGGGAATGGCCTGAAGTTATGTCAGGGAAAGTTTAGGTTGGATATTAGGAAAAGGTTTTTCACCCAGAGGGTGGTTGGGCACTGGAACAGGCTCCCCAAAGCAGTGGTCCCATCACCAAGCCTGTCTGAGTTCAAGGAGTGTTTAGACAATACCTCAGGCAAATGACGTGATTCTTGGGCATGGTCCTGTGCAGGGCCAGAAGTTGGACTTCAATGATCCTTGCAGCTCCCTTTCAACTCAGGATGTTCTATGACTGTGTGATTTTATGGAATAGGATAACACAAAAGAATGCTCTGTGACAATTCTTATAAAATAATTCCTGGTATTTTATTATTTGCCAAGAAATTCTGATACCATGTGAGTAGTGAAAATTAATTCTGCAGCATTTTCTTTTATTTGGGCCTTCTGTCCTATAATATCTGCCCAAATCCACATCTGAAGCACCTTTACTAGTATATGTACACTTGCCATCGCAGCAGCTCTGTAACTTTGCCAAAGCATAGAGGGACCTGCTTTCTGACTGGCTTTGTATTTCACCTTGTTTCCACTCCTTAGGAGTGTATCCCAAACTACAGCAATATTTTGGAGGAGATTGCCCTTATTTATTGCTCTTTCAGTGGGAATGTTGTGTTTCTGGGAGCACGTTGGCCCACCTTCAATGGAATAGGTCATCAAATGCTGCCCTGTAGCCTGCAGTTTACTCTTAGAGGGGCATTTCAGACAATATTGTCACACCAAGCCTTGCTTCTGGCACATGAACTACAAAATTCAGATGGTCTGTTGTAGTCAGTATCTCCTTTTCTCTAGCTCTAGATTGCTCCTAGTATGTTTTCAGAGGTCATGTTCTTGGGATGCACTCACCTCAGGAGCTGAGCATTGCCTTTCACAAGCACCCCACTCTCCCAGGTAACTATGGAAAGAGAAGAAATGCAGTATTACTGCCCCAAATCACTCAGGCAGTGCACAGTTTATAATTGTTTGTTATGACAGCATCTCTATTGGAGGTGTCAGAAAGGACTCTTGATATCAATTTTGGCATTTGTTGAGGTTTCAGAGGGGCCAGGCAGTTATTTTCTGGATGATTTACTAAACTGAAGATTTTTTCTTAAACAAAACAATCAACACAGACACTGGCACAGGCTGACCATTGCAAAACATCTCCATTTGTCAGTAAGCTTTTGCAACCACGAAAATATCCCTGTTGTTCGTGATATTGTGAAAGCACACAGTTGGTATTGTGTGAGCCAGAAAAAGAACAGCTGGTAAATTCAATTCCAGTTTTACCTTAACGGTAGAGTTATTTCATCCCATTTTTTTCCTGATTCTAATCAGTTTTAAAGAGGGAAGGATGGAGTCCTTAAAGCTCAATGGGAGGAATTTTTATGTTTTCTTACCTACCTCTTGGCAATAGCGGGGCCCAGCTCATGGAGTTGAAGGAACATTGTAAATTCTGAGAGGCACTTTTCAAATACAGAAAGGTCACTTTGTAGTCATCATCCTCATCCCCATTGTGCTGGAATATAATGATGTGGGAAATGGTGAGATGTAGTTGCATAACTCTGAAAGTTACCATGTATTCCTTCAAAAGGAACAAGAAAGAATAGTTCCTCTGAACAAAATATTCAGACTTTACAATGCCATATTTTGTTACAGAAGCAAATTTTCTCTCTTTTTTTTTTTCCCTGTAGAGTATAACTAATCAGAAGGTATTTGAGATTAGAATTTGTTAGACTGGAGCAGTATTTTTGGGCAGATGTCCATTCTCACTGGCACAACAGTAACAAGCATTCCAATAATTAACTGATTAGTGAGTGTTCAGAGTCCAAGGAAAGGGAGCAGAAAAAAAGCTAAACTCAAGATTATAATAATTGACAAAATCTCTTCTCCCTTTTTAGGTACATTGAGAATTTTGCTTTGTCAGTGTGGAACTGAAGGGCTGTTCTTTAGAAGTCTTTGAGTTTTGACATTTTCTTACAAACTTTTTTTTTTTTCCACATTTTTAAGGACAAATTTTTGAAAAGTACGTGTCTTGCACACTGGGTATTTAGTGCTCACTTGAAAAATTACTTCTGTTTTTTTGGCAAGTTCCCTCCATGTGTCTAACAGTGAAAAAAATAAGGACTCAAAAGTCGTCTCTGATCTGTCAGTTGGGAAGGCACACGGCAGTATTATGGGAAGGCTTGGGAGGACACAACTGGAAATGCCCATGCAGCCTGCATACAAGAGCTTTGGAATAATTCGGGGAATTCATGTTAGGTTATCTGTCATGCCAAAGTCTTCTAGTCTTAGCTTGTGTTTTGAGTTTGTGCAGTAAGATTTTAGTCGGGGGGGAGTCTACGGGGGTGACTTCTGTGTGAAGCTGCTGGAAGCTTCCCCATTGTCCAACAGAGCCAATGTCAGCCAGCTCCAGGACAGACCCACCGCTGGCCAAGGCTGAGCCCATCAGTGATGGTAATAATGCCTCTGGGATAACGTATTTAAGAAGGGGGAAAAGTTACAGTGCAAGAGCAAATTGCAGCCAGAGAGAGGAGCGAGAATATATGCGAGGAATAACCTTGTGGACACCAAGGCCAGGGAAGAAGGAGGGGGAGGAGGTGGTCCAGGCACTGAGCTGTCCCTACAGCCTGTGGTGCAGACCATGATAAGGCAGCTGGGTCCCTACAGCCCATGGAGGTCCACGGAGGGGCAGAGATCCACCTGCAGTCCATGAAGGAGCTCACACTCAAGCAGGGGGATCCCTTAAGGAGGCCCAATAGAAAGTCCATGCTGGCAGGATCTGTAGCCCCCTGGAGAGAGCAGCCCACGCTCAAGCAGGTTTGCTGGGAGGACTTGTGACCCCACACTAGAGCAGCCTATTCCTTATGGGGGAATAGGAATATTCCCATGAGGGGCCCACGCTGTAGCAGTCTGTTCCTGAAGGACTGCACCCTGTGCAAGGGACCCACACTGGAGCAGGGGAGGAGTATGAAGAGTCCTCCCCTCAAGGAGGAAGGGGTGGCAGAGGCAAAGTGTGATGAAGTGACTGCAGCCCCCATTAACTGGGGGGAAGAGGTACAGAAATCAGGAGTGAAGTTGAGCCCAGGAAGAAGAGAGAGGTGGGTAGAAGGTGTTCTTAAGATATGATTTTATTTCTCATTATCTTGCTCTGTTTTGTTTGGTAATAAATTAAACTGATTTCTTCAAGTCAAGTCTGTTTTGCCCATGTCAGTCAGAGATCTCTCCCCATCCTTTTCTTTACCCACAGGCCTTTCATTATATTTTCTCTCCCCTGTCCCCCTCAGCAGGGTAGTGAGGGCAGCTTTGGTGGGCACATGGTGTCCCGTCAGGGTCACCCCACCACACCTTGCTTCTGGGCAATGTGCCTTCTCTCCAGCTGAACAGATCATCTGCCACTCAAAGGTGTGTGAGGGTTTTTTTAAGTCAAGCCATGGTAGGATTTTGAGAAGGTCACTCAATTTAATGACTTCCTATTAGTGAGAGATTCTGATCTAGGATCTATGGGCCCTGGGGAATACAAGTTTTGTTTCACTTGCTAAAGTAAGTAAGGAAAAAAATGAGAAAATAGATAAAATTATAATGTACAGTCTTCTTTTAATTTAGTCCATATGGAAAAAGATGGGCTGCTGTCATCCATATTTTTGCCAAAATGGTTCCCATGTTCAACAGACCACCATGCTACTAATCTCCTTGCATTTTTTTCCAAACCTCATTCTCACCCAAGATGAAGGTGTATTTACTAGATCTGTGTTGTGAGCTTTCTTTTTTTTTTTTTTTTGATAGAACTATGGGATTTAGTAAGTCAGCAAGACTTTTTGTACATTTGGGGATCAGTGGAAAGAAAATGCTATTTCCACTTGGTGCTATTTCAGTGGATTAGGCAGTACTTCAAAACGTACACATTAGCTTGAGTGATAATGCCTCAAGGTCTCCCAGCTCTGCTGGGACCATGATAGCTTCCTTGATGCCACCTGAGATTCTTGCACATGTTTTTCTTCATGGCACTCTTGACACAAAGGTCTGGTACTCTATGTGACACAAATTCTGCAATCATCTCGTAATTGATTCACTGTCTAAATGGCACTCATGGAAAGAAAATTAAGAGTCTAATTCAAAAAAGAAAAAAGTTCAGGCATAATACCACATTAACAGTGGTCCTAAAGTTGCATAAATACCACTGCTGAGTCCAGCTTTCAGTGGATCCTTGGGTTTGGAGAAAGTAGTGAAAGTCATTCATCTGATGGCCCACTGCAGAAAATCACTCAGGGAAGTCTGCTGGGTACTGTGTCTTGGAATATTCCCAATTCTCCTTTGAAACACAAACATCCTCTGCTGGGAATAGTCAGATGGATTGTTTAAAAAAACATAGCAAACATTTAATAAGTAGCCAGTGTACATAATATTTCAACTCATATTCTATATACTTAACATCTGTTGTTTTGTCAGTTCTAATTGATTTATTCTAAGTGCTTTTTTTTTATTTAGGAAGACATCATTTGTCGGTTTTGGCACTATAACTAATATCTGCAGATGTTGTGTTCAAAGCTGTTTCTTGACTATATTGACACTTCCCAATGTACAGCATTTAAAAAATTTGGCGTGACAGTCAAATTTTCCTGTCTAAACTGGATATTTAAAGAGTGGTTCCACTTTTGCGTATGTCAAGGTAATAACTATACAGTAAAAATAGATTATTATGTGTATCTAAGACGCATCAAGCACAAAATTATTTATTTTAGTAAGAGCAGCACATTTAAAGAAATGTTGATTTGTGTCTGTGGATGATGTGTATATAGACATATTCTATTTCTTATCCTATTCTTTCCCATGCATTATTCATTTTATTGTGGTCAAAAGCAACAGCTTACATACAACAAAATATTGTCAATGCTAGGTTCTTCTAGCACTTAGTTTCAAAAATACCTGCAGTTTCACTGGTGGTAGAGAGTAACAAATTGGCTCATGAGGTTTCTCTCCTTTTCCCAGTGCTAAGGCCCCATATGTCACCAGATGTCCTTCTTCCTGACTGAGATGTTTCTGTGGTCTTTGAAGACCAACTTACGTATTAGAGGTGAGCTCTTACCTGTTACTAAAACAAAACATCAAAGCTTGTTGGTGAATATTAAACTAATGTAAAATTCTGACTGCTCAAATGAAATGTTTTTTTATACTTAAGGGAAAGAAAATTAGGCAGCAATATGATGTTTGAACTTGGTCAGCTTCTTTGCTTATCTTGCCGCAGAACTGGAGCATCCTTTCAAGTAAAAAATGTTAAGATTATATTTAATTGAATGCATTTCTCTTCTCAGGAAGCCATAGTCTACTTGATTGTAAGCTTCAGTGTAATTTTGGGTGAATGATCTATAGTCAAGTGATTTGCAGAGGCATTGTGATTTGTACTCAATGGGCAAATAAGAAAATACTGCATGTTCTGGGTGTTTTGCATAATTACTTGAAATTTTATACTTGTAAGGACATATTTATCTAATTAATTGATTGTTCCAGGAGACACATGACTAATTACTAGCCATGTAGAAATTACCTTCGTTCGTCTTGCCTTGCTATTGCTAAAATATAATACTGAAAAAACCCACTGGTTTATAAGTGGACCACATCAAAATATTATTTATGACACATCATCCCAATTGTAGTGTACAATGCTTTTGCTGAAATATCATTTTGAATGATCAGTGGATATTCAGTTGAACACTATTATTCAAATATTGACTCAATTTGCCTTTGACATCCCATCTTTGTGTGAGAGCTGTTCTGTAACAACAAATAACATCAAAAAGTCAAAAGCTGTATTTCGTAGAAGTCTGATGGTTTAAATAAATCACAGTTGTGATTTATTGTAGTTAAAAGAGTGTGTTGCTGTGCCTATTTTCCACTTTTGACCTTCTTGCTTCCATTTATTCGTTGCCTAGAGACCTCGTTCAAAAATTCTGAGGCAGAAGGGAGGACTGCTGTCCTGGTTTAAAACCTGCCTGCCATTTCAGTGTCTTCCTACCTTCTTCCTCCATGCATGGAATTTCTCCCCATGGTATATCCGTGTCTGAGTTTAGAAGGAGATGGATGCAGTGACAAGCTAATTATTTAAAAAAGATGCAGTGTAACACTCTCCTTTAGGTCTGCTCAGTGCATCTTGCCTTGGCACACCCAACTATTTACCTGTCAGCCACATCAGGAAGTGACTGGTGTGGTTGCAGGCCCAACGTAGCTGAAACATCCAAATTTCTTTGCCTTGGGAACCAGGTAGACAATATTACCTATAAATTAAGAATATTGGATCCTTTGAAAGAGCAGCTTTATGAGTTCATCAATCTTAAAAAAAATGCTGTTGTCTTTAACTCAGCTGTGTCAGTCATTAGGAAACATTTTAGGTTATTATAAGGTACACTTTTCACTGTGATCCCTACCTTTCCTTGTGAAAGAACACAAAATATGCTGATTAGGAAGGTGGTAAAAATACTTTTGCATGTTGGCAGCTGGAAGAGAATCAAAGCGTATGTGAAGGTAATGACAGCTCTAAATAAATTTGTCACATCCTTTTTCATGGATGGTTCTTGGAAGTCCTAATGGTATTCAGGCTGTATGCTGGGGTTTTTTTCACTGTTGCTTGTATTTTAATACCTGACACTTTCAACTGGCAAAAACTGAGATGCTGAACTTTGCTTGCTAAGTTGTGTTCTGTTTCTAGTGTCACATCCATAATGAAATATATTAACATTTATTTGTGTAGATGAAGACATTGGGATCCACCAGTACTCTGAGAAGAAAGAACCAGGTAAAATATAAATAATCATAAGTGAAACTAAACAAAACCTCGAAATGTTCAATGATTGACACCAAAAATGCAGCTTCGAATTTCTTGTTGATATATGTCTCTTTATTTCTATGGAGTAAGGAAGCACAGAAAAAGATACTCTCTCCCAATTTATGTCAGAGTATTTGGAAACTTTTTAAACCAGAGAAGAAAAAAAAATTGGAAAAATATTCACTTTATGCCACTAGAAACGTCAGTGGGAACTTATACTCTGAATTCTTATGTTTTTTACGATATTCTCTGTTCTGTTCAGCCCAGCACATGCTGGGACCCCAGCAGAGGGCATCTCGAACGCGCCGCAGTGCCAGTCCGGCCTCGGCGCCCTGCCTGCTATCTGAAATGGCCATTTCAGAGAGAACAATCCATTTTCTTTATCTGATTAATCCTGTTAATCCTACAAGTTTCACCACGGGTCCAAAGGTCTGTTGGGCTGGAATTACCCCCTCTTTGGGTCCAGGGTAGCACAGTCATCCCTGTGGTCCACACTCTGCTGTCTGCGTGGCTCTGCCGGTAGACAGACGGACTCAGCCCAGTCCTGGGCTCAGTTGCAGCTCCCTTCACTGTCTGATGAGGCTGGGGGGCTCAGTAACACCAGCCCACCTGCTGGGCTCTGTAAGCCTTTCTTTCACTGCGAATTTAAGGTATCTCCCTTACAAGGTGAAAACATCGGGGCTGTCTTAATTTCTTCTGGTAAATTTCTGTGTTTTATCAAACTGTGCGTCCTCTAATATTAATATTTGCTGACAGCACTTGTAAGGATTATCATTCCTCTTTTCATCCTCTTTCCTTTAGCATCACAGATGAAGCACAGTTACTTAGAAGAGAAGCAAAAGCTAGCAGAATGTAAGGATATTTTCTGAGTTTCTTGTTACAGTAAGGCCAAATTGTTAATTTGGATTACTGATGTCTCTGGAAAAGCATTAAAATAACCTCAGACTGCTTCTAATGTAACTTTCTGCACATGTCATCCAAGACAGATGGTCACAGAACTACACAGCACAAGACAATTGAAAATTTGTAATTATTCCTTCCTGGTATATTTGCAATCTGTTTTTTTTTTCTGTCACTAAGCATGGTAGCGTGTATTGCTTCTCAAATCCAGTGTCAAAAGGAATCACAAAAATAATCCAGATTTTTCCTTATGAAATTTTACTTAGCAGATGAGCAGTAAACATTTTCCCAATCAGCTCTTGAATTGCAATACCAGCTGCCTTAAAACTGAAAATTATAACAAGTACTTTCAGGCAAAATCAAATTCCAGTTTAATAATCAGCTGCCTTCATAGAATGCTTTTAGCTTTTAAACATTTACACTGTTCCTGCATTACCTGGTTCAAATAATTTCAGTTCGTATTACCACACAGCAGTACTGTGGCAGTTAAAGATTTTTTTTATTTAGTACAATTTTTCTTTAGCTGAAGTTTTACAACTCCTGCATAGTTACTATTGCTCAGAGCATTCCTTAATGTTCAAACATTATTACATGACAACTCTGAAAAATCTAATTGATTTTTTTTTAGACAACTTCACCAAGGAATATCTGTGCTGTTACCAGAATGAAAATTTCCACGGAATTGTGCACACATTTGAAGGCAAAATGTGTTCTGGAAGGATTAGTTCTTTGCAGCACCATTAGGTGTGTTTGGAGCAGGTTGAAGCCCCGCTGGGGATGGGTGTACAGGTTCACACAGCCACGTGGTCGATCTACACCCACTGCAGAGGGTTGTGTGTCAGTGGGAATCAACAGAGCTCTGTGAAGGTGGGGAGGTGAGGAAGAGTTGCACACAGGGAGGAGCATCATAGGTTTACATCCCTTGTGCTCAGTGTGGCGTTACCTTACAGGCACTGCATGTCTGAAAGGAGAAGCAGGCCCGTTACATGCCAGCTCTGGCTGTTACGTGTTATACATGTGACAGGCAAAAGGAGCACAAGCTGCTGCACTTCATTGCTCTGAATACAGGGGTGCCCTTGGCACAAAGCCTGCATGGCACATTTTGGAAAAAGGAGCACTGGGGAACTTTATTCACAGCTGTTGATTTGTACAGATAGTTTGGTATCTGCACAGGCAATTTCCCATTTTGCATATGTGGATAAATATTCCAGTATTTATGAAGGCAACCACTGAAAATGTGATCTTACATGCCTAATTAATATTATCATAACAGTTACACCAACACTGGCTTCAGTCCAATAAAACACAAAGAGAAGTTGTATGCTGGTGTCCTCTTTTGTTGATATATGAAATCCTTCATTTTTTCACTCTATAGCACTCCTATTGTAAGCTCCTTTTTGCAGGGAGGTTTAAGCATAACTGCTAAGTCATTCGGTCTGGAAGTTGGCATACAAACTGACAGCCTGGAGCTCAAAACTTTTCATCAGGTTTCCTTTAAATAGGAACAGATTTTAAACAATGTGTTCTAGTTTCTCATGGTTTTTATTGTACACTTATGAACAGAGAACTGCTCACTTTTAAATGAAGAAATTTCACAAGTTATTAGAGCCTGATTCTCAGCCATGAAACAAGCCAATTACTGGCAACTCCAGAGGAAGCTTTGCCTCCTGGTTACTAGAATTAATATATTAGGCCAGAATTTCCACAGTAGTGTGCTGTACATTATTAAATTTGTTAAAGAACTTCAGCAGTCATGCAGTTTCTTCTTTGCTTGACTTGGCAGATTCTTCAGACCAAAGTTTCAAAAGCAAATCCTATAAATAACTATACTCTATAAGTTATGGCATTCACAATTGCCTGTTTTTAATACTTCTATATATGCATATATTCATGCATATATATTTTGCAGACATGTTAGTGCCTGCTTTTTGAAACTAGGCAATGAAATGTTAGTTCAGAAGAATAGAATCTGTTTAGGATTTGATAACTTAAATCTGAGTTAACATACTGAACAGGAGACACTTTTTCGTTGCAAGCTGGGTAAGGTCCTGAGAGCTTTATGCATAATTGCCGTGTGGAAGTCATGGTCAGTGTGGATAGAACATGCCAACTGTTCCTATGACTGAGCCTTCCAAAAGGAGATCCTTTGACAATAGAAACCACAGCCATTTCCTTCCAATGGTGGGTAAGTTTTACGCTTAAAGTCACTCCTAGGAATCTTAGTTTTGTGTTTCCACAGAAAAGGAAGCTCAACTTGAAGAACTTTTTAAATTATGTGTAAAAATGTTTGTACACATTCCCACACGTGCATACACACACACAGACATATATATATATATATACAGTCACCTATATATATACATTTCTCTACCTTCTGCCTTTTTTTTTTTAAAACTTTTATTTGACAGCCCGAGATTATCCTTGGATCCTGAAAAGCAAGAGAGCAGACAAACTGCGAGATGCACTCAAGGAGGTGGAGGTACGTTTCAGAAGGTTTCAAGTACAGCAACATCTAATCCGGTTTTTAGACCTCTTTCAACAGCTTTAGTTTTCATAAAGATCCAACTCTCCCAGTGATGATAAATGTGCTTTTGTCTGGTGGGCTGTTCTAAAACAGCTGCATCTTTGTGTGGAATGCCTCATCTGTAAACTTGAAAAATCAGAAGTCTGTTAACCGATAGTGACAATGCGTGCTGCCAACTCCACTCTCTGTTTTCTGTTGCCCTCTAGGACTTAATGCAAAACACTCCATGTGTGCTGAGCAAATGGAAGAACAAACATACCTGTCAGGTATTGTTATGCAGTGTTCAGTCAGTGGTGCCAAAACAGCCATCCAGTGATGGAAGCAGCAGTGTTAAAATGTTAACTAACACCGAAAATCATTGGGCTTTTTTTAATATATGGGCCCTTTTTACCTAGATTGGGTTTATTTAAATTTCTACTCCGAAATGCATGCCTGAAATAAAAATCTGGGGTTTATCAACACAAAAAATTACATTAAAGGGCCCTGATTGTGAGAGATGATTATTGCTGCTGTTGTTGTGGTTATTGTTATTATTACTTTTATTGTTTGGGGAAACTGAAAACATCCTCAGAATAGCAGGCTGGGGGACCAGTTAAAATATATAGACAAGTCTGTGGAATATGACACATATAATCTGTGTTATATTATATTTTTATGTCTTAATTATTTTCATGTCTGTCACTGTTACTTTATTCTTGTGTAATATGGGAGGGAAACTGTAACTCTAAACCAACTAGATCATTAATCAAGTTATGGAATAGGAGATATTGTGACATGGGGCACACATACAGCTATGTTCTCTGGCTGTATGAGTTCCACATATTGTACAAGAAAAAGCTTTTCACATCCTCATTACAACAGAGCAGTAGGACAGGTAGGAGAGCTGAACATGACATGTGCTTTAGCTCCTTAATCATGTGCTTCTTCTGAAAAACATATGTCATGAATTTTATATGTTTATACAGCCTTCATGAGGAATTGCATCATATTTGAAACTGCTCGGCATGGGGAATACTTGTCAATATAAACTGTTTCTAAAAAGAAATTTTATCTTCTAACTTTTATGCTTTTTCAGTCTCATAATTTTTTCTTGTCATTCAAATAGCTCCAAATGTGGGCCAACAGAATGAATATTAAATATCTGAACATTATACAGCTAAAATTCCAGGAATGTCTTTAGGAATAGCAAAATGTTTAAATATTTGATATGCCAAATGGTATGTAGTCTTTTCACCTCAATAATAAAAATATTATTGTCTAAGCTACATTTGCCTATCAGATCTTACCCCTAGTTAATGTCTATCATTCGTGTACAGATTACATGTATATATCTGTGAATGTTAATCTTCTAAAGCTTATTTAAATATTAATTGTATGCTAATTTAGAGGATTCGTTTTTTCCTGTTATTGTTGTTCTGATTAGGAAAGGAGTTTAGTTAAGAAATACTGAGTCGATTAGCTGTGAGTGTATTCATTTTCTTCCCAGTTTGCTGTCTCTTCATTTGCTTTCCCTGTCCATTCTTCCTTTATCACTTTCCTTCCCCTCCCATCTATCTGCATCCACCCTCATTCTTTACGAACACATACTTTGGAACAGTGAACTTTTTACCAGAATGTGATCATTCTGCCTTCATCATATAACACCTTTGGTTGACTGTCAGTTCTGTATAAAATCCTTCTTTTTTTATTTTTTGACTTAGCATCCTCTAAGTAATTTCAGGCTTACATCAACATAAATGAGACAAATACAATTTTACTTATTTCTTGTACAAGATGGGAAAGAAAAGAGATGGGTGCTTTTATCTTAGTATATTAGGTCTAGCTCCATATTGGGTTGAATAATGTAATGGAGTAGTTTAATTAGTTGAGTATTTTTGGGGTTTCTGTAGTTGGTTTTCATGGCCAGAGTATAAGTGATGGTGTAGGTTATAACATAGCCAGAGTGAAAGTTATAGATAAAAATCACAGTCATTTCTCTGTCCTTAAATTCTCCTTTTGGTTTCTCAATTACAAAACAAAATATCTTTTTGCATAATAGTGGCTGATTATTGAAATCTCCAACAGGGCTTAGAATGTTTTACTGAAACAATTGTGTTATTCCACTTTCTGTCTTCCTGAAAATAAAAGACCTCCAACAAATGAAAATAAAAGAGAGAAAAATGAATCATTTGGAAGAGTCTAGAACAGAAAAGCTGTCTTCTATCAATTTTGATGTCAGATGGTTTGTTTTCCTTCTCCTCATCTCTCTTTGAGCATTTTACAGCAATAATTGGACTGTCCCTTTTTGATGCAAATATTCTGAAGCCTCTGGAAAAGATGTTGTACGTTTATTTTTTAATTTTATGTAGAATACTAATCAAATGTTTCAGCAGAAAGTGCTTACCATGTAATGGTGGGATCTGTGGCATAGCACCACTGTATTCACAGCCTCTTTTATATGGATACCAGAGCTAGTGGGAAGAGTCCAGTTTGCATTAACTTTCAAGAGTAATCGAAAGCAATGTGTCAAACAAACAGCATGAAGAGCAAATAGTGAATTACCCTGATTGTCATAATTTCGATGTTTTGGGGTAAATTTGAGTATATGGTTTAATTACATTATCTTTTTTTTTTAGCTCTTTGGTTTTAGTAGCAATACATTGTCAAATAAACTCATGTATAGAAATTTAAGTATTGAACTCAACAGCCATCACATTTTTCAATAAATGTTCTTTGTATTTGAATCTGCCATATCTGTACCTGAACAAGGAATAATACTCTTTGTATTGTAATAACAATGTGCCATCCAAAAACTCAGTGGCTGCTGAACCTTGAGCAAGACAGAACAAATGGGAAGAAATCTGAAGGGTGATACAATGATAACAAGGCTATCCTTTAAAAGAGTAGTAGGATTTCCCTCAGATTTTGTGAAAAACAACCATAGGACTGCTGCTAGTGTGCCTTCTGTAACCTAAACATCAATATTCCTAATCCCTCACTGCTTCCTCCAACACTTCCATCTTAAAACTAGCCCACAGGCAAAAATTGGGGGCTATAATTTTACATATGCATCTGCTAAAAATAAATGTGCTGTCACACTAACCAAATGACCAATTAGACTTCATGCATATGTCTCAGTGAGAAATCTTGTCTATCCCATGAATGTATTTCTCGAAGTTGGCTTTTCTATAGGAGTTTGCCTAGAATGACCATAATGTTGGCCCAGCTTTCTACCTTTCTGTTAATTTTATGCATCAAAATCTCTCCTATTACTTTTTTTTTGTACAATCAGTGCACTAGAAGTTTCACATTTGCTTCCTTGTCTGTTGCCAAAAAAAAAAAAAATCCATTGACCTTTATTTTTGCAGTGCTAAGTACACATTCTAGTATTGCTTAGGGCTTCTGAAATGGATGATGTGCCAGTTCATGTAAACATAACCTAGACAGTACAGGGATTTTTGTCAAGGAGCTTGCTCTCATATTTAAAAGAGCTTAGTTGAGTCCTAAAGGGCTGAGGTCTTCTCTTTAGCTCTGTTCCAATAGGATCTGAACCCACACCATTTCTGTATGGTACTTCTGACCCCCAACTTTGATGACCTGTGTTGAGTTGCTGAAATAATCCTATGATCTTCAGTTAGCTGATGTCAAAGGAAAATAAATAGACCATAGAAGAAGGATGATGGGAAAAAGACAAGAAGTCTTTACAATAAGATGCCACTGTGCTCCTCAGCTTTCCCTCCTGAGGAGTAATAACCTAAGGAATTAATTTTATCGGTATTGTTGAGTTTACTCAACTCAGCTCTGGCTGCTTCCCTTCTTCTTGGTCTCCTTCTCTAATTCTTTGGAATGCTTTTAAGTTTTGCCACAAAATCATGAAATCTTCCTATGAAATTTTGCCATTGGTTCAGTTTGGTTTTACAATATAAGGCAGTAAAAATTAATGAAGTCTAGCCAAAACATTTGATTTCCAACTTTTTTTTAGTTTTACATTTGCATTATGGTGTTGAATTAAACACATGCCAACACTGTTATACATTTTATTGAATCAGAGCCAAGCACTGGCTATGAATCATATCTATTACCTCCTAATGAAAAAGATTTATGTATTCTTTGCTAAATTGTTTTGATTTCATTTAATTGTGCTTGTGTTGCAATTTACATATGCATATAAATGGTTTTTCTGTTGCCATCACTGGCATACTTAGAACTGGATTCTGAATTGAGATCCACAGCAGTGTTTTCTGACATGGCCTGTTCTATCACCTACAATGCCCATAAGCAAAGTGATTTAGCAAGCTGTGTGGTGACATAGAGCAGCACATTTGATATCAAAATCAAGTCATTCTGGCTAGAACACATGAGCAGCTAGCACCCATCACCAGTTACTGAGGGGAGCACTGCCCTCATATTAAATTCTTTTGGTTGCTTTTGATCACAACTATAAATGTCTTGTGTGGTTTTAGTTATTTGGAGCTAGAAGTACAAATGCATTGATTATTGTGAAACAGTAACGTGTAACAACAATAACTTCATCTGTAATAAGGCATGCAACACAGTAATTATGGTGGAGTGGCTAAGAAAGCAATCTGGAATGAAGAGGTGGGGAAAAACCCTGGGAACCTGCTTGAACAAGAAATGCTTTGCAATTCTCTTCTCCTTTTGCATATTCCTTTGTCAGTTGGACTCTGTAAGAGAAAACAGTTTGCAGCAATATTTTTTACAGGCGTATTTTCCTTCTCTTCCAATTTTAATCAGATAGAAGCAAATCCTGGCTTTGCTCCGCAGGTATCTTTTTAGGTAGAAGGGCTGATAAACAGCTAAGCTGCATGAATGAGGAGGCAAGAGCTAAGGTTTCTGAGGGTAAAGGAATCCACTCAAGTACATGCTTAAGTTCTACTAAACTCCGTAAGTCATGAACCAGTACTTAAGTCCTTTGCTTAATAAAAACTAACTCAAATATATATTAGACCACATTGCTATTGGGGAAGGGAAGGGCTAAGTCTTCCCCTGAGTATCCTCAGCTCCTCCTTATATGTCTATCTTGCTCATTGGAGGACAATTTTTGGCACATAAAGTACATAATCCCTTCTATCAAAGTCTTCACATTCAATCCTTGGTAATACTGATATTGTGGCCCTTCCTTCCCAGCATGTAGAATGACCACATGCCCAAACATTTCACTCAGACTACATTCAAGTACAAAGGCTCTGCCTATTCTTCCAATAGTTATGAAGTTGTGTTTTCATATTTTGTTTAGGAACACCTGGAGACTGTTTGAGTTGTAGAGATTACTCTTCTGATTTTATTTTTCCCGTCACAGTACTTCAATCTGAAAAATTTATGATGTGTTTCATTATTGTGAATTTCCTTCCCTAATTTAATATCTGTTAGATGGAATGATTTAGTGCCTGGTGTAAATAAAGCCTCTTACATTCGCTTTTATTCCTCAGAAATGATGGGCAGTTCCCTTGAGCAGTACTTTTTGGAGCTGAATCACTTTTTATCTGTGTTCAAGCCAAGTTTGCAATCTTCCCTATTTGCTTTATATTCATTTGTAATTATGATTGGACTGCTCCCATCCACCAAAATGTGAGCTTAACTATACAAGCTTATGTGTACCAGCACTTAACCCTTGTTATCATGTAACAGTCTTTGCATAGACTACACTGTGCGAAACAAATTGAAATAGTGTTTTCAATTTGAGCACATAAAAATTTTCTCTGTTACAGAATATTTTTGACCAAAGATAGTCTAGAATCATAGAACCATTTAAGGTGGAAAGGACCACTGAGATCGAGTCCAGTACCTAACTGGTACCTAACAGTACCAAGTTTATCACTAAAGCATGTCCTTAAGTGCCACGTCTACATGTCTTTAATACTTCCAGAGATGGTGACTCCACCCTTGCCCTGCTCTATTTAAGTACCTGCTTGTATTTTATGGTAAACTTTAGGAACTAATTTTTAAAAATCCTCAGTTCTAATCCAAAACATTTTTAAAGGAAGATGGATTAAATACTAACCTTAAATGGCCATATAGGGTGAAAGGGCTCTGATTTACTTTTTAAATTTAGACTCTGAAGTTCCTAGAAGGATGAACTTAAACCTATGGAGCAAAGGTGTGTTACCAATCATGGTAAGTTAATAGAGTAAAAATTTGTTAAAGTAAAATTTAACTTTTTCCCAGATTTCTCAAACTTCTGAGGAGTGTAATGGGAAAAAATGTTTTACTGTAAAATGAAAAGAAAGAGGGAACGCAATGGGGAAAGCAGTAAAAGCCATGGAAATTACACTATTTTTACCTTCTTTCTGTCGTTCTATCATGTCATACTGATAACATAAAGATCTATGCAATGTTGAAAATCCATAGCATTGGTTTAATGACTAGTTTCATAGATGTAAAGCAAAGCACACCCATTAGCACAATATCTTATGTTTATATAAATGTCTTGTCATCAAACACTGGAGCAGTTTTCATTAATTTTTATTCTAGCTCTGTAACAGGTATGATCTATGCCATTACCAGGAAATTATGAATTTACACCCTGAGTTTAAAAATGCTAACCTTACTTGATGCACTCAGGCCAAGAGTTTGCAAGCACATCTGCACACAGGGTAGTGGATGGACGTGTCAGCAGAATGACAAGCATGTGGCCTCATTCCATAATGCAGTCAGTCAAGATCCTTAACCATCAAAACACATTTTTTCCTGTTTGGCCTCCCCTCTTTACCTGGATGGGTGTTGTGTTTCCCTGCTCTATCAGGTAAACCTGGAGGCTACGAACAGAGTTCTGATTCACAGTGGGTTTTCTCCCAGGTTAACTCCAGTTTGTTTTCCTTGCTCCCCACAAGAACAGGAAGCCTAGGAACAACCTACCAGTATAGTAACACTTTCTGAGGGAAGGACGTAGCTCCCAAGCAAGGGTGTTGTGGAATAAACATATTGGAGAGTTTATTTGTATGATTGCACCATGTCTTCTGTTGGCACATAACGCTGAAAGTTTTGGGGTGTTTTCTCTATCAGGCTAATATTCATTCAGTTACTTAGAACTGAGCTTTCTAGAGTATGTAATTTTTCTTGATCATTGCTTACATCACAGTTTGGCAACTTCTGGGTTTCAGCCCTCACTTTTTCAGCTGGGTTTTTCGGACATTTGTAGCTAGCAGCAGTCAAACCTTGCTGGACTTCACATTACCACGTTGGAAATAAATTGTGATTTTATCTACTCTAACTTCAACATAAGGACAAATTGAAGTTTTGAAAGATTGTAATAAAAGCTGCATGAGTGTAACCGTGTCTAACATTTTTACTAGGACAAAACCTTAAAGGACATCTGTCATCACAGGGAATATTGAAACATTGACTATATATATTTATCAAGTGAATGCATGATTAGATTTTGGCAGGATGGAGGCTGATCATTTTGTTCTTAAAAATTCATTTCACATCACACGTATTTTTTTGTTTCTATTTCACACATCACTAGAGTTTATTTTCAAAAAATGTTGGTTAAAGATATTAGTCAGGGCAAGAAGATAATTTATTTAAATACACTTGTTCTGTTCTATGCTATGGAGAGCACAGAGCTGTAGTAATATAGCAAAATATGCATAACTGAGAATTTCTGTAACTTAATTATCAGGAACAGGGCATTGCACAAGGGGAAAGCTCAATTAGATAACTACATTCCTGTCCCTCATACTTTTTACTTATTATATAATCCAGTGGATCTCACTGCAAGAGAGTTCTAAAAATTATATTGCAAACATATTTGTCTCATATCTCCAGCATAGAACAAAAAGGGATTTTTTTTCCTGCTGAATTCTCCTACAAGAGCAAGTATTTCTCTAGTAGTTAATTTTTTTAAAAAACACAGAGGTTTCTTTAAAAATCTGCTGTTAGGTAGAAGAAAGAGCTGGAGTCCAAGATTCCTGGCCTTTGGTGAGCCCTCTGGACTTCTCTGCAACAATCTTTCCACTGAGGATTTCTTTTATGGATTTTATTTTCTGATTTCCTTTGCTGTAATAGTTGCATTCAGAAAATAACTAATGGTTTTATTATGCAAAAATAAACATTTTTCATAACTCCTCCCACTGAGAATTCTCTCTCTCATACAAGATAAGGCATCAGAAGGATCTGATAAATACTGTGACTTAGTCTTCAAGATTATATGTACCATTTAATTTAAATTAATTACACAGAATTATTCAATTAGCTCTGAAATAACCCTCTGACTATACTGTCAAACACCTTAAATTCTTTCTAAGAGAGACATCTATAACCTTATGTTGAGGAGTGAATGGGATTTATTGGAAGCTCACAGCTATCTCTATGGTAGGGCATCATTATTTAAGTTAAACAGTATATGAATGATCAGAAATAACAAGGATAGCAAAAAGGTGCTGGTTTTAATGTGTGATAATAATACAAAATTACATTAAACTCTACTTTATATATTTTTTTCATGCAGGCTGTGCAGTTATTTTATACAGAAAAGATCAGATCCATGGGTGATAGAGTGATCAGTGTCATTCCTTCCCTCACTCAGGACAGAATTTTGATCTCCATTTTTAACAAACTAATTCACTACATGTTATGTAATATTTGGGGACTTAGCATGCTGCTTCTTCAAGTGTTCAGCAATTGTAATTCTCGTACCCGTGTAATTCAGTGTGGTGTTACATCTCTCTCTTTCGTTGAAAGAGCTTTCAAAGTCATTATAAGACATCTTCACGTCAATGATAATTCATTTTTGCAATTTTGAAAATTAGGTTACTACATAATGGACAGGGGATAATATGTACCTTGGAACGTTTCACTTTATTAATGATTTTTGATGTCTTGTTTTCTCGCTCTTTGGATTTAGCTCCTCTTTCACTCAGGTGTCTTGGTGTCCCTAAGCCTTTCTGGGCCACAGCTGGAGAAAGTGGTGATTGACAGGACCCTGGTGGGGAAGCTCGTCTCCGACACCATCAGTGATGGTAATTACACCCATGTGCAAATCAATTGCCTGCATTAACAATAGAGTAGAGAAATAGTATGTCAACAGGTAGACTAATTATTGCCACTGGGGACTTGCAAACACAACAAGTAATTGCATGTAATGCCATAGTTACAACCCTCAGGACTAAGAACACTTTAAGAATAATTTTTAACATCAAAGTTTTCAGGCTTGTCAAATGCTGTGTGGGTTTCTAAAATTCAGTTTCTTACACATTGTAACCACTGTGAACATGCCATTTGAACTTGTCATGTTTATTTTGTTAAGTAGGAAAAAGGGACAGAACCAAACATTAGCCAATTGATTAATTACATGGGATAGTTATTATTAAAGTTATTATTAAAAAAGGCTGGGTAAGGTTAGTTATGTGGAGGTATTCTGATTTAGTTTCTAAAAATCCAAAATCTCACTATTGTTATTAACTAGTGACTGCTAAAAATAAAGTTTTCATTTAATGCAGAAGAAAACTTACAAAAACATGCCTGTTTTCTTTACCTTTATAATATGACTACCATATCATTGAGAAATCAATCAGGTATCTTGGCTTCTGCACAAACAAGAATATGAAATTTTAATGTGAGCCTTATTACACATGAATTATCTTCCAAATTCTTTAAAAGTAGGCCCACATTATATCCTTCTGGTAAGATTATGTGCTTAATTCAGGTTTGATCTTTAATGATTTATTTTCCTCCATACCCAGGCATCTATTGAATGTTGGCCTGGTTCTTTAAGAAACCTACAGTACTGTGTCCCTCTGATCTTTTCTTATCAATGTATTGTAGTTTAGTCATGAAAATTAACACTATTATGTTTGTAGAATCTTTATTTATAAGAAAATTTAACCCTAGCCTCATTTTTTATCAACTAATTACACAGAGAGCATAGAACACATCTACTTTCTTGATTCCTTTTTTTCCACTCTTCAATTAAGTTACTGGATTCCATCTCCAATATTTTGGCCTCAGTTTCCAGAGGGAGAATATCATACTTTCAGGTAACAAAAAGTAGGAAAGCATGGAAGCTAAGGTTATACCCAAATTGAATTTGTTTGTAGAAATTATTTGGAATACTCTGTCTTTAAGAAAAATAAAAAATTAAATTATATGTATCATGCCTTACCTTGGCTTAATATGTCATAGAAATACAAATATTTGTCTAAAAAATACTGCTAACTAAAAAAGCTTACAACTAAAAAAATAATAAAGCAATAAATATGGTTTCCTACATTTATACCACTGTATTTGTTATATAAACAACATTATATAATAGCTTGTCCTTATTTTCACTTTTTCAAGATTTTTCTAAACTTTCATGTTCACTAATACCCATGTCCAAAGGTGAAATAAAACTGCTTCTATTCCATTAAAGCAAACCACCCAATAACTCACTGCAATACCGTTTTTATTTTCAAGAACAACAAAAGATACTTTTATTATCCACACAAATAGTGTTCAAAATACAAATTTTTATACTGAACTATTCCTATGTGAGAACCACAACATAATGTTGTCCCAGAGGAAATTCACTTTAATTCAAAAAAACTGCACATCTTTCCAAATCTGATTTGGAATTGGGCTTGTGATTATCAAGTTGGCCAAAAGAAATTCTATATTTAGTACAAGAACCCTGTATAAAAATAATATTTCTTACTTTAGCAACTGTGTATACGTAGAAATGGATAAGGATTACAATCTGCCGAAATTCCCTATGAAATGTTATAATTCTAATTTGAAGTAGCATGTTCTCTTAACATTTGGAATAAAGGTCAGGTTGTGTGCACAAAATACAGAATTAATACTGCTTTTGTAGTGCTCCTGCATCTAATAAAGTCCTCCTGGTTCTGATTATTTATAGGCAAAATTTCATCAGCATCTGAGGTGTGCTGTGGCTCATCTTTGATGTAAACTGTGTCTGTGAGGGCATCAAAATATTTTAAATGTGTGCATGCATATTGAGGATACCACACTCAGTGGTTTTCAGTTTTCATGTGTGTGCAGGATCTCAATTATGGCACTAAGTTATAGATCTCAGTTATAGTCAGATATTTTATCACCTTTTTTTTTCCCACCAAAAAAAGCTAGAGTTAATGTTACATTTCAAAGGCAATTATTTGGCTTTAAACTCTACCCTTTAGCATTTGCATACCAGATACTTCAGAGTTGTGCCAGGACATGGCTGTTGGAAAATGCAAGTGGTTATAAATCAGACTAAATCAAAGCAAAGCTGACTAGCCAGTTTTCCATGCTTCCATGTAAGACTGAACTGTCAATCTACTTAAGGATATGCAAAATTTAGATTTAAGAATCTGGGATATTAGTAGCAAGTGCTTTTTTAAGTTTGTTTTTCAGAGATTGTTCCACAGGGTTCTATTTGTTTGTTTTTAAATCCAGTTCCACTTTATTTGGCATTTTCTTTTTAACAGAGGTTTCTGAGTTTGCAGTCTGAACACAGCTTGCTAGCTTTACTTTAAACATGTTTCTCATCAATTATTCCTCGGTGATCTGGTAGTAGTTACCCCGATGACTCACTTCGTACTCAGACATCTCTTTAAATGTGGGTGCTGCTTGAATAACTGGGAAAATAACTTGGGAAAAATCCTAAATACTATTTTCTAAGCAATTTTCATTGACAGATTTGTTAATCACTTTTGTATTAAACTATTTTGGTCTAACACGCCCTTACGATAGCAGCAGGGATTCCACTGTGCTTTTCCAGACTCCAAGGGAGTTTGTTCCATCTGGGTTATTTGTATTGTTTGGGTACCCCCACATGTGAAGCTTTCATCAAATTCATAACCCCCCTAAAGCATAATCCTGTATGTCTGCAGCAGCACCAGGAACCTTACGATGTCAAATACCAGATACACCTGAAGTACTAATTTGCATTTATCACCCTTAGCACAATCTTAGCTGTATTAGGTGCATTTCTGAAATACTGGTGGATGTAACCGTAAGAAAAAAAAATACTGAAGGCTGAACTGAGATGAAAGTTAATGTGGAAGGGCATAAAACATATATTTGGATGTAGTGGCAATTTGATATGAGATAATTTATTCGGGTTTGTGTAATCAGAGTACTCCTTAGGCTTTATTTCTCATTTCCGAGAAGGTCCTGGCAGGATGACACATTGATGTCTTTTAGGACGTTACAGGGCTTTCAGTGCAATATTTAAGACACTGTCTTGAAAAAAATTGCTTTTTGCAGTATCTCAGTGGAGTGTTCAGTACTTTTTTTTTTGTTACTAGAAACAGGTATTACAGTACTGACAATTTTTATTTGGGTTTCTTTTTCAGCTGTTCTTACAGACAATTTCATCATTTTGTCATTTGAGGATCATAGCCAACTCTGCTTAATTCAGTTTACAAAGAAGATGGATTCTCCTGATGTAAACAAAAGACTGGAAAAACTCTCTTGTTTGGACTTTAAGGTATAGCTGTCAATGGTGACTGCAAATACTGCAGGAACTGTACATTATGAATCACTGGTACTCACTGATACTGTATAGCAGCATAAATTGCAAACCTTTATATAACTGACCAAAGCAGCTCAAATTCTGAAAATGGCAGTTACTGAAAAGTAAAAAAAAAACAAAGATAAAAAATTATATGACATCCTGAGTTAACGTGTTAAAATACTGAGCCAAGAGGGATCCAGATTTCTACTATATTTACGTTTGGGCTCAGACACACATTTGAGTGACCACTGCTTGACAGATTACCTTGTGTCCATTGAGCAGCAGTAACTGACCCTTTGCACATTCTTGACATCTAACAAGCATGAAGCAAAATCTGTAATGGTAAACCTCAGTGTAAAAGATTTAAGTTAATGTGTTTTACCTCTTGTTTGTCGCGGGCTGAAAATACACACATGGTCAATTACTGTGGCTCAGCTGATAGACACAAACTCATGAAGCTCTGATACTTCAGCTATCTGTCTGAGCTCCAAGACTGCTGTAATTCTTTGCAGAAATCTGAATTTCCCTTCTAGTTACAGTGACGGAGTTGTTCGGAGAGTCGCTTTTACAATTAAGCCACTGAGTTAGGGCTCAAGGTAAAGAAGCTGAGTGTCTCACTACTGGTCAACTGTATATGTGACCTTAGGCAAGTGATTTGGTTCCAATGTATGTCAATTCACTAGTTACACACTAGTGAAGATTAAAATACTCCTTTTTTGCAGCCCTTTACGTGTGGGTTTGTCTATACCACAATCACACCAGCAGCTGAAAGTAGCCTAGAGAGAGCTGAGCTGGCTTTAAGCTATCCAGTCTGTATGTCAGTGGAAACCAGCTCATCTCAGGCTGAATTACACTGTATCTTGGATGGATTGGGCTGTGCAGACATAACTGATTTCAACCATAAGCTCTCTGGCATCAGGGCAGCAGCTGACCTTAGGTAGAAGTGCATGGTGCTACAGCAGTATGAAAAAATAATCAGCCAAGGCAATTAACTTTGAACAGGTGAAGTAGGAAAGGGACTGCATCCAATTCACTGCAAGAATGGAGAAGGGTCAAGCCTTTGCCCAAGAAAGGTAGAAAGATGCTGTGAGCAAAGGAGAGAGTTTGTATTTATTTCAGACTGGGTAAATGTTAAGGAAAACAATCTTGTGCTAGCAAATATTTTCCCCTTGACAACCCCTTAGTAATTTGCTTGCTGATATAAGGGAGCTTGCATCTGCAAGGCAAGCTTTTTAAGGATATGTTTAATTTAAGTTTTGCTATAATGTGTTTTAACTTGCTTGGTAGAAATACTTTCTGCTAGGATTAATATCTAATACATTTTCCAGGCTGTTTCAGTTCAGGGCCTCTTTTCAGCAATGGCTTGTGTTTGCAAGATTGATCCAGCCTCCATAACGTGGATTTGAGACAGTTCACTGTTCACTGGGAACTGAGCTGATACATACTTTACTTTAAAATGATGTGCCTTGTGCCTGGTTAAGGCTGTGCTTTGGAAGTGAGTGTGGTGTGTGGGGTGGCTTTTTTTTTTTTAACAGTGCTAAAGTTTAAGGAGGAAGCCATGGTGAACTGACAACTGCCTTTGTCGTTGGAGTGTGAGGGCCACAGCCCCTGACTTAATGTTTGGAAAAACCAGAAATATCTGCTGCACTCCTTAATAGGGTTGTTAAGTTTTCAGTTCTTTGCTGACACAGCTGAGCTTCTCAAAACACCTCAGTGTTCAACGTTAACTTTGCTTTCTCTTGAAATCAGTGGGAATCACTATGGAATACTTCACTGCCAGCCAAAAAAAAAGGCATTTGCATTTTTTAATTGAATGTTCTTTGTGTGAGGCTTGCTAGTTAGGCAGCTAAATATAATTTTTATTATCTTCAGAATTGCACCAGTGTGAGACTGCAGGAAGTATTATTCACTGCTGCAATAATATTATGTCAGCTCTCTACACTGATTTAGAGTTCTTCATGGCTGATTTTGGTCAAACTTCCAAAAGCTAAAGATCACACAGTCAGCACTAGTGCCACTCTCAGTAGAAACAAAATCGTCCTCAGTTGGAACTGTGCAAACTTGTAACAATAACAAATGGGGGGGTGGGTAGGGAAAAAACCCCATTCCTTAGAGCTGATTTTTTTTCAAGAGAAATTGAATAAAAAAGATAACTTGCACTGGTATAGAACTACCACGGGATTAAAATCTGGAGCCAAGACTCAGGAAATTTGATTGTAGCCTTCACTTCTGCCTCTGACTTTTGGTGTAACCTTAAGAAATGTAAATGACAAAAATGCTTGCAATGATATAATTAAATTTCTCTCATATTACCATTGTAATGATAAGCAACTTCACATTGTTTGGTGTCCAGGCTCACCATGGGCAAAATTGGCAGCAGTGCTGGACTGCCAGAGTGCTGTCAATAATAAGAACAGGTCAACCATGCTTTCCTCCTCACAGCTTGATATTTATCCAAAAGTTGTTTTTTTTACACAATGCATACCTAAATGAAAGAATTAATCTCTCTATCCTCTTCCTTTCTAAATGATTGAATTTTATTTACATTTTGAAACAATAAAAGAAAATTTATTATATGAATCACTACAGTTTTGAGACCAGCAAAATAGAATACCAACTATTATCATTTGCCTTTTCTCAGTGGCACGAGTCCATATTTGAGAGTGACATGTCTATTGCAAGACACAAAGGTTTACAAAAGATTTGTGGCTGTTATTACATATGAAATTGTTATGAACAGTTAATGCTAGTATACAGGACTAATTAACACATGTGGAAGTATTTGTGCTTTTCCAAGGTAATCAATGTGTTGTCACCCAATTAACTATTTATATATAGTTCTAATTCAAGTAGCAGCTACCTGTTAACTTTCGTGTATGTTTTATCTTTACACATCTAAGTATTTTGACAAGTAAAACACAGGATATTCTGAAAACATTGACCTTTTGCAAGTTTTTCCTGTCTGTGGTTTTTTAATCCATTTCAATTTACTGAAGGAGACAGAACAAGGAGTTAAATGTTTACCATGAGAGAACAACATTGGTAATTACTTTGATTTCAGTTCCTTTTGATGTGTATTCAGGGGATGAAGAGGTCAATAATATTATGACCATGCAAATAGAAAAGGGTTCTTTTTGACCATATAAAAAACAGCAAAGGATTATTAAAGCATTAACCTTGATTTTAATGGCCTTGGTTGAGAGCTGAGATCACAATTTGGATGAGCCTGATTATTTACTAAATACAATACATAAATGCAACGGGTTCTTAACACCCATTGCACTCTGGCATTATCGCATTACTGCCAGCCTTTGTTGCCTTGCAGACAGGAATATGAAAGCAATCTGTCATGTAGTGAGACTGGCTCCAGAAGCATTTCTCTGATAAGAAGACCCCCTGCCCTTTGCTAGTGTCTGGTCCAGTAGGCTTAGCCATGCGCTTAATCCCCAGAAAGTGGTTCGATTATTGCTGACCAGCAATGGCAAGATAGTTTTTTTTTCCCCTAGCTATCAACCTTCCATTAATTCCTTAAGCAGAAATGCGGTGCAATCTATATTTCCTTGGCATGTGTCACCCAGATGGTGCACTGCTCATGTTTTCAAATAACCATGCTCCAAATAACAGAGTTTGAATAATAAATTCCACAAATCCTTCCTGAGGAAGAGGCACAATTCTCAAGAGCTGCATAAACTTTACGCATGATGCTGTAGCTCATCCACATTATGCAGAAAAGTATATATTCTTTTGCAAAGCAGATGTTTGTGTTTGGATTCTTTAATTTAGGGAGGAAAAAGAAAGATATATGTTTGCTCAAATGCTGTAGAATATATTTAATATTTGATTATGTCTTAAACACTAGCCTTAGCTCCGTGGTCAGCTTTGCAGAACTTGTCATTTAATATGGCTAAGCTTAAATCCTATGTGGAGGTCGATGCTGTCAAGCAACCATGACTGTACATTTTGGTATTGATTGGAGTCATTGCAGTAAATTCCTTCTTAACTCATATTCCTTTCCATCCCAATCCCCTCCCCACAGATAAAAGTGTGAGCATGTCTTTTTCTGTCTGAGGAGATATTTTTCACATTTACAGACAGCCTATATGAAGATATATGTAGGCAGTACTCTGTGTGTATATATACATTCTTTTTCACACACCCAAAGTAAATGCTCCCATTTGCTCCTACTGTGCTATTTTATCACCTCAAATATTTCCTACATTTTTTTTCTTCCATCAGATTTCTTATATTGATATACTTGGACCAGAAGGTAGAAGGATGAAACGTCACCTGGCAATAAACTCTATGCAAGATATGGTCATTTGCTGGTGGTCAGCAACTAGTGATGGAGCATGGCCTTGGTCTCCTATTTCCTGTGAGAGGGACAGAGCCAACCTATTGCTATTAGGCTGTGCACATGGCAAATTGGAGGTAAAGTGCTGAACTCTCTTGTTGCATGATTTTTTCAGATTTTCTAAAGAAAGAACTATTCAACTTAAATGCATATTCAGCTAGATATAAAGAACAGATATGATCAAAACATAAGAAAGGAAGATCAACCATTCTAACCTTAAAAACAAAGGTTTGTTATTTAATTAAAAAAGCACCTTATTTAGTATGTTTACTATTTTCACATTAAGACTGGAAACCTGAAAAATGTAGCAAGGAAGTTATGTCTTTATCATGGAGTAGCTTTCATGTTGCTAAAACTGAAAATAAAAGTGTCAGAGTTCCACCAGAAAACTGAGTTAGAAATTGTAACTGTTGCATGCATGTCTGAAGCAATTATTTTACATTGGCTGCAATGTTAACTGATAGGCATTTGACATCTATTTCAAGTGTTTTGTTAAAATTTTATCTATGCCCAGATGGTGTTTAAATTGTTGCTATGAGTATTGATCAAATCAGGAACTGTTTTTTTCTGAAAGAAAAAGTCAGAACTCCTCATCTACAGGTGGGAATGTAAGATACAAGTTAGGACAAAGCTACAAGCTGACCCTCTTCCTGACACCTGCTTAGCTTACCTTTTTAGGCAGATGTTTCCGTTTCATCTGTTTCATTTTTATTTCATCTATTCAAGAATCTTTGAATCCAGTTTATTTTGTTAGGCAGAAAGATAAAAACAGAGCCATCTCTGAGAGAACTGGAGCCTGAATTTAAAACACTAAAGCTTTTCTGGACTAACGTCTTGTATAGATGCTCCTGTATTCGGAATTTTATTTTCAGTTTGTCTTAAGCCATTTTTAATATGGACTAAAAAGGCACTGACTGTGGGAGAAGAGCACAAACTTGAGGATCAGCTGTGGAATAGCTGTTCTGGATTAGCTATTAGAGACTATTTCCCTATAGGGAAAAACCCTAAGTAACACTTTAAAATAAGCCACTCTTACAAACAGCACCCTGTTCTCTGTAATTAGGGAAGATGTAAATGTTTTAATGTCTTGGAACTATTACTTTGATAACTAATATTTGAGTGAGATTTTTTTTTCCCTTGAGGCTTTCTATATATTGAAAGCCAAAGAGAAAATGTAGTTGAGACAGCTTTTCTTTCTTATTTCTTTCATTAGTCACTGTAGAATTGAAGTTTAAATTACCTCCAGCTCTGCCTTCTTTACTTCTTTTCAATTGACCTCTCTCCACTTGCGGTCATCTTTGACTCATCTCTCTCTTCTGCCTGCTCTACACCTGCAGTTCTCCATTCCCCCTGCAGCAATGCCAGATCACATAAAAAAATTACTCTGGGAGCTAAAACGCGTGGCTGTTCTTTGTAAGCTTTTCCAGCCTAGTCCCTGTGCCAGTTTGATATTATGAAACTTCATCCTACTAACATTTCAGACCTTATTTCTTGCCATGACTTCCGTATGTCCAGGTTCTGACAGCAACATTCCCATGCCTTTTTTTAATCTTTCTGCATCTTCCAGAAAGCTCCCTAATGCCAACAAAGCAGTTTGCAATCTCTGTTTTCTGAGGTGTTGTTTAGGTGTTGTTTTCTTCTAAGAAATTCACAGAAACCACCCTGTCAGTTCAAAGCTTTCTGTGTTTCAATTTTTATGTTACAGGGAGATTTCCAAAATCACAGGATTCCTCAGATTCTTTCTGTGTACCTAGTTTTATCCTTTTCTGGTTTAGACTCTGGTATAGTCCTAAGCACATCACTGGTGCTTTACACAGTGAAGATAATTCACATTCACTGAGGCTTTAGGCCTCATAATCCCTTTAATTTGGCCCATATTGTAATAGAAATATAAGAAAACTCTTTTTAAAAGCAGAACTACTAAATTTGACTGTTCAATTGCTTTCCCCTTTTTGATTCTTTGCCTGTACTTGTCTGTTTCAATTCTAAGATCTTTGGATGAAATTTCTTTTCCTCTATTTATCAATAAAATACAAACACTTTGCCAGGGCTATGGAAAACTTAGTCATATATGAACAATAAACTGTCTTGCTGGTTGTCAGTTAGGCTGTTCCATGTACTTGGAATGTTCAGTAAGGCTCAAGAAACTACCTACATGCGTAGCCTATAAGTATAACCTATGATATTATTTGGTTGAGGTTTTTAACCTTATTTCCTTATGGGCAGGAGTTAAATTCCTGTGCACAGATGGGAGAACATCATAACCCAGCAGTTCTAGAAGTAATGTCAACCCCCAACCTGCATTTAACTGAGGTACATTTTTCCCCTACAGAGTCTTGGAGGGGGACATTAACTTAACACCTTTAACTTCTGAAGGTCATTTGGTAGCTTAAACATGAGCAAAAACATAGTTAACATTTCTCGAGCACTCTAAACGGTTACTCTCCAGGTCACAAAAATACAGTGGTTCTGTAAGCATGCTTATTTTCCTCTCTTTGCCTCTACTCCCTTAACATTTGTAGTATTCTTCAGGTAAATGAAAACAGGATGTGCCATTGTTATGCATGAAAGTAAATCCATATTTATCCTATTTCACCAGTAATATGACAATGATTATTGTCAGCAGTAGAAGAATAAGAAGCATGAGCTGATTCAGTTTAGAGCATTTATCATAAAGAAGTGTAATCAAGTAATATCACCATTTTACTTGAAAGTAATAGTATCTGTTGGATAAAGGAGCATGATTATCTAGAATTAAGAGAAAAGCAGAAATTACTGAATATCAAGACCATAAAGAGCTGTTTGGCATATTGGGTTTGTGAAACCAAACCCCAGGCAATGAATGGGTGCTACCCACAGCCATCACCTCGGTGCTGACCTTTGAAAACCACAAAACGACCTGCCAGCTGCTGACACTCGTGCGTTGGGGCAGAGCAAAGGTAAATGGGGCACTTATTTGATACTACTTCCTGCCTGGAAGAATTTTTTGAGTATTATTGGCTGCTCACCAGAAGAGTGTGTATGAGGATGAGGACAGGAATAGCTCTGGGATGAGACAACTCAACCCCTTGTCATGATCATCGCCTGTAACTACACGTTCTGTGTTGGGATGATTCACATTGCCCACGGAGTATTTGGGGTATTGTGTACTTCAGCAGCTTTTCAACTTAATGAAAGAAATACATTTTACTTTTTAAATACACTGTAAATTTGATTTGAATTTTACTATGTGGCTTTATATTTTAGCATTTACTACTATTAAGGCTACAGGTAAGCATTATTCCTCTAAAAACAGAAATAACTTTTTCCTTGCAAATCTCAACTTATTTTACTGAATTTTTTTTCTGAGATCAGGGTTTACTGTATTGAATGCTGTAAGATTTGGTGAAGAATTGTCCCTTGAAGAAATAAAAGTACTTTTCTCTTTAGCATTGTCTTTGCTTTGGTGTGTGATGTACATTTGGACAGATACATCCATGTTGCTGCAGGAATATTTGTCTGTTGGACCTTTGTCTGCTTTCCTGTGTGCGTTGGTTTCCTCCAGTAAACTCATCCATTCTCTAATTTATTTATTTAATTATTTGGTGTTTGTTTTGTTTTTTCTATATTAAAGTATCAGTGATCAAGGATGTTATTTAAATTGTCTCCCTGTGGAGATAACGCTGGTGTTTTGTTTTCAAAACCAGAAGAGGAATCTTCCAGAAATTACTTCAAACAATTTGCTATGAATAAAAAGGATCTGATGTGAAATCATCTTTGGATTAAATGCTTTGAGAGAAAGTCCAGTTAAAATCAACATGAACTTTATTCTGCAAACAAAAATTAACAGGAGGTGCTGATGCCAGGGCTCAGTTACTGTAGTACTTTGCACTTGTCTTTGCCATGTTTATTTTCACTCCATTTAGTGCTAGTGTGAATGACTGAAATTATACTTCAACCTTGTGGAAAAAAATAGTTTCCCCTAGAGAGAATGTTATTTTTCTTTCTCCCAAGAGAAAATATTTAAGTTATTGCGTCCACATTTCACCTCAGATTTGTGAAAAAACACGGCAGATCTTTTCTGTGTGCCCTGTCCTGTAGTGCTCAGAAAAACATCCACCGTGTGTGACTGAATGGCTGAAATACCTCTCACACACGTACAGCAAAGAATGTAAAATCCTCCATGTCACATTGAGTTAAAAGTTCAATGAATAATATGGGATAAAGATGATGATTATGATAAATTTGGAAAGAAAATAAGAACAAATGTTGACTGGAGATCTAGATAGTAAGATTGCATGTAGGACTGTAGACCCAATGCATCCAAAGAAGTAACCTAGGGTAGGAGCCTTGCATTTTTATTTTACAAAGGTTTTGAAATAGGGTGGGTTTTTTCCTTTCATCTTCACAGTGCTGTATTTAGAACTATTTTACTCTAGTATGCACCACACTTCCCACTTTATGGTTCTAATTAAAATGTTTGTTGTTATTTGGAACCTCATGGTGTGAAATTAAATAAGCCACTTTTTTAGCATCCATAAAATAAATCAAACATTTTTTCTCATCTGAAAGACACACAATTCAGTCACAGCAAGCTTATTTCTCTGTTTCTTTTGTTTTCTTTTTTCATCTGCCTGGTAAGCCAATTTTCTGCTTAAGAACTACTGGTTAAAACTCTTACTTGTTTTGATAAGTGGACTTTATCCTTTCCCAGTATTCTATGCAAAATACTTCAATATTCAGTGTTCAAAGATTTCCACTGAGAAGAATGATACTGCCCACACAAGCTAGTGCTATTATTTTTTTCAAACATAAAATGAAAGAGTTTTAACTAGCATGGTTCAGGGCCCTTATTTATAAAGATTAAGAGATTCCTTTACTTGGATACTTATGATTCCTGACTCTAGGATTTGAGAGCCTGGCATTGTAGCATCCCTCATCCTGCTGATGAGCTGATGCAGAGCCCAGATCAGTACTGCAAGGGAAAACAATATAGATGTGCAGTAGTGGTGCATGGCTGCCACATTAATAAGAGAAATATGTATAAATTATGTGAACAATATTTAAATGCATGTACTGTATTTTTGTAGCATTCACATCACAAAACTAAAAGGGACTTTTACATTTTTTTAAATTATTTATGTCTTTCTTTTCCACGAAGTAGTTGGTTTTACTTCATGCAAGGTATTTCCAGAAATCTTTCCTGGAAATCCAAGGGTAAGTGCTTAGCCCAAGATTTATGGAAAGTACTTAACACTGAAAGAACTATACACACTGCCATGTGATCTTACAACTCGATGTTTTCAGATCCACTGCCATATCCCCTCCTCCACATATCTGACAGTTGTCCTACCCATTTCTAAGGAAACTCCTCCAGCTTTTGCTTCCCCATTCCCCAAGCAAATGATTTGTTAACTCGTTCAATGAAGTTCCAGAGAACTGCTGCTTACCAGGAAGAAATCCCACTGGATTCCTTTAAATGGACTGCTAAAGCACTATGTGCACTACATTTACTAGCATGTGGTTGCTTACCAGATAGAAGAACAGTTGGCAGAATACTATCTTCTTGGGGGAAAAAAAAGTTTTATTAGACTTCTTATCTTTCAAAAGCATTATCTTAGCCTTATTAACATGTTTCTGTAGCTGTATGTCTCTCTGCTTTACTTTTCCAGTTAGCGGCATGAAGAATGAATAATAAAAGTAACTTCTGACAGAGAAACTCAAATCTTCCCTCTGAGATGAAAGAGAATATCCATTTTTTTCCTTCAGAATGCAAAGTGGCAGTTACATTCAGTAAAACTGGAAGCCAGAACAAAGAGGTCTCTCAGCTTGATACTCTTCCTGCAAGAGGCACATGAGGCCACTGATGCATGAGATCCAATCTAAGGAGAAATGTTTCTCTTGTTTTCAGCCAGAATATGAACAGGAGTGTCTAGAAAAGTTTCCTTTAAGCCTTATGTGTTTAAACATTATGCCAAAACTTATGTTTTGAAAGGCAGCAAATAGTCTTTCTCTCCTTGCAGGAACTTTTTCCTAGTTTAGAATTGTGTTATATACATCAACCAGCCCTACCCTAGACTTCATTTCAAGGATTTGCTCTCAAAATTATGTGAAGCTAGGAAGCTTCTCATCTCAAGACTCATTAGATTAGCTTTCCAAAATGCAAGATTTTACTTTCTTTTGAATTCAAAGTAGTGGTCATCATTTTGTCCTACTTTTACTCTAAGAAGGCAGAAGAAAATTATGAAATTTGGGTGCAGTTTACTTGCCGACTCTCAAACGATCATATGGCAACGTTCATTTTTCTGTGACTGTTTCCATTGCTTTTTTCCATCAGTCACTCCTATAGAGTTGTGAAATCCATATTTCACATATTTTCTTCTCTATTGTCTTAACCTTCAAGGCCAGCCTATCTTCAGAATTGAATAGTGCTTTCATGCTTTCATCTCTCATAGGCTCAATTATTGTGTGGATCTCCATGACTTTCTTGTAGCTTGTGAGGAGATATCCAGAGAAAAACACTGGTTTGGGGTCAAAATATGTAGCTAAATAATGCAGTGCATTGAAACCTGCCACAGGAAGACAGAAATCTGAGTCCCACAGGGCCTCAAGGCTCATTTCACTGAAGTTATGGAAGCTTTGAAGACTTGCTTGGGCAAGACTTCTGTTTCACACATTTGAAAGGGAGCTACCCGGGTCTCTGTACATACTCTTAGGAAAAACTGCAGAACAAACAATACCACTTCGCTTTGTCTTTATTTGGGGTTAGAGAACTCTGTGGTCACAGTAATCCTTTGTCCATAATAACCTCTTTTAGGAGTTTCCTTACTATGCAATTTAACACCCTAATAAACACACTTCAGCAGCTCTAACATCTGCACAGTAGCCACTGCAACATTTTGTGGGCATAAAATGCCTAGTTGAGGAGGCTAAGTCATTGTTGAGGGAATGATTGAGGTGAGAAAATGTTTTTCAGACTATATAAATAATGTAATAATTTATTTCCTCTTTGATATACATTTCCATTGGTCACTACTCTGTTGAGATTGGTTGGTGAGGTTTTCACAGGTTGGATGCGTTGGTTTCTGTAGTTAGGTGCTTTTGCATTAAGTGGTTCTCTGCATGCTACTCATCTTAAAAGTAGCAAAGACTTTTGTATTTGTCAGCTGGTTTCCAGCCAGAGAACTGCAATAATCCTTTTTTTCTTTCTTTTGAATGAGAAACCCTTTTGCTGACAAAACAAGTAAAGTGTCAGAACAAAACATCCTAATCAGCCTGATCAACGTCCCAAGTAGCTTGTTTATAAACTTATCAGTTACTTCTGAAGTAATGGGTGGTATGCCAAAAAATCTAAATTTCTTATTCTCTTTTGCAGGATGAAAGACTAAATTATGTGTTCCATTGCTCTTGTGATCTATGGAAAACAAATTTAAATTGCTGTAACATTATGTGTGCATTTCTGTTTTCAACCTGAAATTTCCAGTTTTCCTTCCTCGTCCTCTCTCTGTCTTTTGATCGCATTTTTTACCCCTTTCTGCGTAAAAGGTGCTTTCATACCACCTGAACTTAAGGGGCTTCCAAAAATTGTAGCAGGTCAGCAGCTTTAATCTGTAGTGTGAAGATTGCTGTGGGTATACCTGAGGGCGGGGTTCGGCTCAGGCTGACATCTTCCTTTCACTCTTTATTTCTGCATGAACAAACACCAGCAAGTTTCTGACTGACTTGCACTACTCTCATTATGCTAGACATGGGTTTTACTCTCCCTTTCAGAGAAATAGCTTTTCATAACCTCATTTGCATCTTATTTACAGCTGGTTTTTCTCCCACGGTTTCCCTGTTCATATCCTCTACACCACCTCTCGCTCAAACCCAAATATCATAGGACATGAATCTTCACTGTCCCCACTGTTGTCTCCCCCACTTTATGGTACTTCCCATGTTTCCACACTACAGATTCTTGCTCTTTGCCAGCTGGTGTCTTTTATCACATTACGCCTTTGTGTTCTTCTTCCAGTTCATTCAACTTTCAAGTACCCCATAATGATCCTCCCTTTTCTGCTATCACAAATTCATCTATTCTGCATCTAAAGCTATGTGGCACCAAAGAACATCTACCACCTACTCATTTGGCAATATACAGTAGATGTTGTTTAAACATGCCATTGTTTCTACCACTACAGTGTAGTCCCAAATCTTCGTTCGTGAAGCCCAGCCATGACAGTGTAGTATTTTCTGTTACCATGGCCCTGCATCTACACATGATGCTCAGAGTAATCTATTATAGATTTTTTCAGTAATTTTGGGATTTCTCCCCCACCCCCCTTGTGAATAATCAGTTATTCTGATGTTCTGCTCATTTTCCCTCTTACTAACGTTGTTAAGACCATCCTCTCTTTTATCTTCTATTCTGCTAACCTATTATATAGGTCTGGACAAACAAATACAATTCAAACTATATTGCAGGGTTTTTTTAAATGAAATGAGTAAACCTTTTAGAAGTTAAAACAGTAGATTCCAAAGGATGCATATTTGTTTTACTTACTGACCCACAAGAAAACGTATTTGCAGTCGCCTATTTTTAAATCATCAAAATAAGAATAAATTACTACAAATGCCTACCAAAACCTCTTGGATTTTTTTTCAGGTTCTGAGTTTTGTCCGTACGGAATGGGATCCCCTCCATGCCAGCTTCAGCACTCACCAGCCTTACCAGGTGCACACAGTGGAGCACTCGGTGTCAGCAGCCAAGGAGCCCATGGCCGACAGCTGCGTCTACAAGTGCCTCAGGAACAAAATCCAGTGTGCAGCCATCACCAGGATACCGCTGCGATCCAGGGCCATCAGCTGCTGCAGGGATGTTACAGAAGACAAACTAGTCCTGGGCTGTGAAGACTCGTCAATAATTCTGTATGAAGCCTACAACCAAGTAACTCTGTTAGCCCAGGCAGAACTGCTGCCTGCTGTGATGACCTACCACCCCGCCGGGGCCGTATTCGTGGTCGGCAGCTCTCAAGGGGAGCTGCAGCTTTTTGACACAGCACTGTCCCCCGTTAAAATTCAGCTCTTGGCACAAGACTATTCACCTGAGGCAACTTTGCAATGCAGTAAACACTTTGAGGTGCCTAGCAGCCTCATCCAGATCCAGTGGGCTGCCCCTCCAGTTGCGTGTGTCAGCCCTGACAGCACTGATATTCATGATCTTTTGTTGGTTAGATTTGACAAAGGACCCTTGGGAGTACTTCACTTTAAACTTGGTAAGTTCCTAAGCACATATGGTGAACCCTGAGCTCTCAAGGAAACATCTGTACCCCACAAGGATTTTGTGGTTTGAAGCATGCTAATTTTAGATATATGGAACCATAGCCTGAAAAGCAAATTGTTCCAACAATATCTGAAGATATGAACCAAGGAGTTCTTTATCTGTTTCACAATGACTTAATACCTTTTCATATGGGGTCAGACAGGATAGGACCCCAATCTGTTGTCAGGTCAGCGTCCCATCATGTTCCCCGTTACTCTAATAAAGCATAACAATTTATCATATGGAAAATTCCTTTAATCTGTAGTATATAACTTTAGGAATTGTATTCATTCTGTAGCAATAGCCCTAACAAGCTAAAATAATCCATATTTAATAATAGAATAGTAATTCTATTTCTTTCCCAAGTTATTTTTTTGTGTGTATGATGTATATTTGTCCCAGTACTCTGTTATTCTGGCTTCAGTACATGAAGTTGCATCTTTTCTTTCCTTGAAGACTTTTCACAGAAGAACAAAGTTCTTCATAACCTTCAGAGAAGTTTGGTCTCTCAACTAATTTGCAAGGACTTGTGAATAAAAGGATTAATAATACTAATTTTAGAATTAATATAGCACTTCTCAATTTTGGTGTAAGGAGACTCTGAAAGAGTAAACCCACAACTATCTTCCTCTTATAAGCAGAATAACAAGAAGTAGAAAAGGAAAGCTAAAGGGCTTTCCAAGAGTTACACGGTGAGTCAGTGGCTGAACTAAGAATAAAACCCCTGCAGTAGCTCATCAGTGAGAACTGTATTCTTTTCATTCAAGTCAGGCAAGTTACAGTGGTGTAAATCCAATGTGAGGGCTAAAAAAAACAATCATTCCTAAACCCTCTGACTCCCAAGGCAGTGTTTCAGCAGGGCAGACAGCCATCCTGGAAAATTTCACCATTTTGCCTATTGTCCAAGAAAACAAGATTGCCTCTATAGATCTTCATGGGTGTTTTTAATGATTCTTTTGTATAAAGCTACTGAGATTAGAAACAAGCCTTTTTTAAAAAGAAAAACAAACAACCCCCCCAAAAAACCCAAAATAGCAACCTAGTTGACAGTAAGATCTGAAAATCTACTTTATTTCTTTACTTAATGAGACACATATGTGCTTTTGTGTGGGATAACCTGACTAAAAGTACCACAGACCTAAGAATTTGAAAGACTGAATTAATAAAACTTAACCAAGCATGGCACTGCAAAAAGGTAAATTAATATAATGAGATGTTTGCAACAAAAAAATGTTGAATTGACTTCTAGCTGTGTAGTTTTAAAAGAGCTGATCAGGATTATTGCTGTTGTCCAAAAAAACTATTAAAAAACCTGTTTGCAGGTTATCATTTATTTTAAGATAATTAGCTGCATTAAGTTCAATGACAGGTTTAATAGTTGCAGAGTAGCCCAGAACACTAATTATAGCAGCTATTTGATGTTTTTGTGCATGTTGGCCATTTGAAAAAAACAAACCCTCTAAATTATCTGAGTCCTGATTTTGGCTGGGATGGAGTTGAGCAGGAGGCACTCTACCCACCTCTACCTTGCTTTTCTTCAGTCCTCCCTTGTGAGGTTTTCTCACAACAGCTTTCCAGAAAGCACAGCTTTCCCCTTGCTATCTTTAGCACATTTATGTTCTTACCAACGCAAGCAGGCTCTCAGTACAGGGATTTAGAGGCCTTTCCTGCTAATTGCCAGCTTGTAAACTTAATTGGACTGTCTCCCTGGGCACCGTTCCTAAATCAATTAGGCAGTGAGTTGGCTGTCACCTCCTTTTCCCAAGCAGGTTGCCTGGAAGCGCACCACCCAGGAGAAGTCAAGCATCCAAATGGGAAGATGTTGACCTCTACAGCTGAAAGTTATCACATTTTAAAATTCATTCTGTATAATTACTGTAAAATCTCTTCTAGGAAGAAGGCAAGGCTCTCTCCCTCCTTCCCTCCCTCCCTCTTTGTAGTCCACTGTGCAAAAATGTGCTGTTCTCTGTTTCATCCTGGTTTTCAGCTTTACACTTCTGCTTAGTTTGCCACACTACCAAAGTAACTGTGTTGCTTAGCGAGCCCTTCTTCACAGCCTCAGCAATTTTTAGGTCTCTGCTGTTTAAGAAATAATGCAAATATAAGTTATACAGAAAATACAGGGGTCCATGACAGCAAGACCTAGACAGGCATTCAGGAGTGAAATGAAATCCATAATTAACACATGGCTTGAAATGGTTTCCCACAGAAGTCCGTTAAGGAACTATGTCAATGAGAATAAGCAAATATGTTTTTAACTTCCAGCTATATTATGATTTTGGACAAGTTCTCTGAATTCTCCATTGTGCTGTCTTTCCAGGAAAAGATTCATATTAAATATACCCTCAAACATTAATGGCAGATGTCTTTGGTGTCTAATGCCAAACTCATTTCCAAAAGCATTGCAGCTTCTTGTCATTGATGTCAGCCTAGATCCTGGATAAGGCCAAATGTGGTACTCATGCCAGTGGTTCAGCATTGCTGGCCTCAAAAGACGTTTAAAACATAATATTATATTTAATTAACATGAAAATAAGTATTTTCACATTCACTTAGTTGTTAATGTGAAGATTGCCCAGCTTCTGTAATACTTTAAAAACACTAAACATTTAGGAAGAATAAAGTCTGCCATAACTATTAGATATTGACAGGTTAAACGTGGCTATTACACATTGTAATGTCCACAGGCTTTAATACATGCAAATACATTAGAAAACCATGTCTTTTCTTTAATGATGCTAAAAAAACTAAGTATTTCTCTGTTACAAAATATAAATATGCCCCCCAAAGCATCAGATCTGTATATGCAAGTTCTTAGCAGGTTACTTCTCCTTAAGATATAGTCAGATGTTTTTCTTGACTTTTTATTTTCCTCAATTCTTATTTTGCATCACAAACAGTATTCACAACAACATTTATGAAAGTTGTGTGAGGTATGTTTTATATATATCAGGTCTGCTTTTCTCTGTTATCAGACTTGGTTTTCCAATTAAGCTTGTTCCCTTTCTCATCAGAACATTTTCCTTAAAATTAGTTTTTGCAAACAAGATCAGAATATAAATTGGGAAAATAAAAGAAAAAAAACATTATGTTTTCATTTAAAGAGAAGGAAAAAATAAATTTATTCTGGTCTCTTTCTAATATTTGGAGGAGTAGTGATAAAGAATACTCTATCAGAGTGAGCAAGACTTGCTAAAATGCCATGTGTGGCCTATGTTACATGATCATTTGGCTAGTCAGAGACAATAAATAACATTACTTTCTGCAGCATTTCAGACATCTTTTCTGCTCAGAATCTGAGATCTGCAAGTCAAGAAGCATTCTTCTGGCAAACTTGTTCTTGGTTTCGTGTACAACTGTAATTCAAAGGTCTCTAGGTGTTGATAACTTCGTGAAATCCTCTCACAGTAAAAATGCTTCACTTAGAGAATATTACCAAGCTAGAGGTAGGTTCCAGAACGGTCACAGTGTGGAGACTGATTGAGTAACAGTTACTTTGAAGTTGGAGCTGCTGTGCACTTGTATACACAGGTACGTTTGTGTGACACAAATGCTGGGGTTTAGTGTTCTTCAGCAGTATTTCCCTACAGAAAGGAGATGCTGTGAAATTTAATTTATTACCTAGCATACAGTAGTCATAAACTGTGAATAAACTTTTCCTACCATGTCTAAAACAAACTTCATTACCTGACTTTGTCACCAGTGAGTTTTGGCTACATTCGCTCGACCTCCATGCGTGAAGTTAACTGATGATTTTTCTCTGCTGTCCAAAACATGCTCAGCCTAAATATACCAAGATATGAAGGAGCTACCTCGTGTAAAAATTTAATACTGAAACCCATCAACTTAATTTTAAACAGTGGCAATTATTTTTAACTGTGCTGAAAAGTAGTCAGCTACTGTTTTACATACTCTGTATCAAAGTATAAACCCACTATCTTTGGTTTTAATATTTCCTGTTAAAGGTGTGATCACAAGAGGACAACTGGGCCTTGTGGAAATTATCCACCAGTACATTCGTTATGATGAGATACATGAGGCAATTAATGTCCTGAACACCATGAACTGGAACACAATGGGTCATCAGTGCTATATCTGCTTGAGTGCCATTTGCAACCACCTTCTTAAACAAAAGCTTACACCAGATAGGGAAGGTAAGAATGTAGAAATATGTTTCTAATGTATTTTTGTGGTCTCTTTGTAATTCATATGTGGATTATGACAATATATTTATTGACAATATAAAGAAGACAATAGTGAGTATCCAGACAGCCAGATTATGGTGCTTCATAATCACATATCATATGTAGACAAGTAATTTCAATAAAATCTGGGCTAATGTGTTAACTACATTTTAGTTTGTATCAATAGTGATACTAAAATAATGCATATTTTAATATACATATGCTATAGGCATTAATATATAGCATTAGCATATATATGCTGTAACTTCACTGCATTCTATAAATGTAGCTTATGTTACAGACAAACAGTACTGGATTGAATTGTTTGTTATATGTACCTGCTGAGACAGCACCAACTTAAGGAGGGATGTTTTTCTGCAACAGGGACAAGAGATTTTAGTATGTTTTTTAAGGTGCTTTTGAAGGGTCATTCTTTCATTACAAGATACAAAGTCTTTGAATACACTATCCTCTGCTGCCTCCTTTAGGATTAAAGCACTTGTCCTCACTGTAATCTGGCCCCCTGCAGTAGTAGCTGGGGTCCCTCACAAGAAATTATGAATTTTAGGTTTAGCCCCATCTCTGCTGAGGCCTGTTGTGATGCCTTCCTCTTGATTTGCTGTCTATCTTGAAACTCAATAGACTTCAAGATTTGATGTGCCTTGATTTAGTGAAGGTGTTATCCTCCAGTCTAGCAGGCAGACAGCTGGACACCAGGCATCTTTTGTAGCAAGAAAGAATACTTAGGATTCTGGCATGTTTGATGATAGAAAAACTCCAAGGTGTCCTACATCGCTGCCAAGCCATCAGCTATCCCATTTTGTGGGATATGATTTAAAAAATCTCTGCATTGCAAACATGACATGTTGATTCTAAATAAAACATGCTTTGAAAAGGACTTGTGAGAAGGGCTGAGCGTGAAACCCTTCTAAAAATATGTACATTATAAACAGATGTTTGTGTGTTTCCCCCCATGCAGCTCCCTAACACTGTTTACAGCAGAAAGAATTTTATTCCATCCAGGAGTTATTCAATCTGAATCTAACAAATTTGGCATGGTAATTTGTTTTCTTTTTTATTAGCAAAACCCAGTGGGGCCTTTTATTTATAGTGATGGGGCAGTTATCTCTGAGATCTTTATCCTGCCTTCAACATCAAGCTGGGCTATCTGATGAGTCTATAACTGTGATAGTGGTTACTCATATTCCATGTCGGTTGAGATGTTTCAGAAGTACAAAACATGCTGTCAAGAAAACAGCAATGGCAAGAGAGTATGTCTTGTTTTTCTATTTTAATCTAAATTGACTGCTGCTTTGAAAGAAAATACCTTTAAAGTTCGACTTATCTTACTATCTAGATTTAGGATAACACAAAACTAGTTTACTAACAGTTTGCCTGTGTTACTAACACAGTACTACTAGCTGATTTAGTGCTATCAAGCTAATAAAGTAAAATATAACTATGCTCGGAAGAAAAAAAACATTATTACGAAATACAGAAATGCCTAGTCCAAACAAACATTAATAACAGCAAATCAATGAGAATTTATTTGCCTAATGAGACAATACGTTATATTTTCCTTTTAAAGCAATGTTAGTATATAGCAAATAAATATATAGTAAATTCTCCCTATTCTGCCTAGAAGGCCTTGTACTATGTTGTTAACTCTCAAGCAAAATTCACATAGCATAAATATTATTGATCATTAAATTTCCTTTCAGCTAAGCATGTGGGACACAGAAGTGTACTGTGTATTTACTTGCATTATTTATAATTTTATATTAAAAAATTGTAGGAAAATGCCTAAGAGCTTGAGCTGTGGAGTATATCAGTCAGAAAATATTTAAAGCAGAGAGAACTTGTGTAACAAAAGGGTTTTATTTTATTGATTACAAGGGAGGTTATCCTGTTTCTCACCACTACATGCTGTCAAACCTCTAGGGTTTTTAGACCCTTTTATCTAAAATTTTTAAAGAACCGTGGGTTGAAGGAGATTCCTTTAGACCTCAAGGCCATCACAAGGAGGGTTTTATTACCTGCTGACCTAACACAATAATCCCTGAAAAACCGAACTCCCTTGTTGTTTGCCTAAGAGGACAAAGATGATTTGAGCTAATTGAGAGTTCATCTCTACTGGACAATCTTGTTCAGACTGTATTACTCTTATGAGTCACTTTTAGTTGTAGGCTGCTGGTGAGAACTTGATGTGTTATAGACTTCATTATCCTTTTGATAGCTTTTATTGCTCAAAGTCCTTGTCAGCTCTGCCTCAAAGTGAAAGTTTATATGGACATTTGTGTTTGTACAATCTGTCATATTTTAATTTCATCTGCCCTACAACAACATCACGTTTCATCAGTGTTTGAGGAGTTTGACTGACTGCAAACATGAGCAACCTGTTGTAATTGAAACTAATTCACTTACTTCATTGCTGCTGTGTTTGAACTCCACAGCACAGCTTGAGGCAAGCCTTGGAACCTTTTATGCACCAACAAGACCCCTCTTGGATACAACTGTGCTGGAGTACAGGGACCCAATCAGCAGATACGCAAGAAGGTTCTTCCACCACCTGCTCAGGTGAATGACAGTTTCAACTTCTATCAGCTTAAAATTAATTGCATATTTCAATAACTGCCTACTTTAATGTGGTTAACATTTTCCAAGAGGACCACCCCTGACAAAAATGCATTCATTGTTAATGTTTGTTTAACTTGCACTTTGGTCCCTTCAAATAGAGTATTTCAGATAAAGTGCTATTCAGAGCTCTTCTGTCATCAGTACACTTAAAATGAATCACCCTTTCCCTTTTAGCTTGATAGAGAAAAGAAAACATGCTTATGAGAGATTGATATTCAATAACTACTTTTAGATTAGCTATTGAAAGAGCTTACAAACTTGGAGAAAACCTTGCTAGAACACAAAAGAATGCTGCATGATCCAAGACATTCCTATCTCTGCACCACTGAAGTCTGAGCATTTTGTTATTCTTACCTTTAAAGTTCTCATATATAAATTCATGTCCCAGTAATTTTCAGTGAATTTTCAGTGACATTCCTGTAAGAGGAGAAAATGAAATGTTGAATTTGTCTGTAAATTATATAAAATCATGGAATGGTTTGGGTTGGAAAGGACCTTAAAGATCATGTAGTTCAACCCCCTCACTACTGTGGACAGGGACACCTTCCACTAGACCAGGTTGCTCAATGGCCCATCCAGCCTGGCCCTGAACAGTGCCAAGGTTAGGACATCCACAGCTTCTTTGGGCAACCTGTTCCAAGTGCCTCACCAACCTCACAGTAAAGAATTTCTTCCTTATATTTAACCTAATTTCCCCTCTTTCAAGTTGTACCCATTATTCCTTGTCCTATCACTACAGTTCCTGACAGAAAGTCCCTCTCTGTCTTCCCTGTAGACACCCTTCGGATACTGGAAGGTTGCTATAAGGTCTCCACACAACTTTCTCTTCTCCGGGCTGAACAGCCTCAACTTTTTCAATCTGTCTTCTTAAGGGAGCTGCTCTTACCTTAGATAATAGCAAATTCAGCTAGAATTTATAGTGCATTGGTTTATTGTTTTATTTTTCCTTCAGAATAAGTCAATAGCTTGAATTTCAATCAGTTATCAATATGCAGCAGTTTAACCTGTTCAGTTGTTCAACAACAACTATAGCTGAAACATTCCCTCTGATAATTATCCAGTGGATGAAAATAAGGATGAATCACCTTCTGAAAGACACAATGTTTGTAACACCTTGTTGAGGAGTATAGATAGACATAGTGAAAAGACGTACAGTAAACCCTTTTTTAGTGATTCATTCAGATTGTCTACATTGTCTGCATAGGCTAAACTAGGAACTGCAAGTTACTTTGACAGTACAGTGTGCTTTTTTTCAAATCTTAAAGAAAAATATTTTATATTGTCTTCTGCACTTTTGAGTCTGAAGAGGATCATCTTACTGGTAAACAGAACCATTCCAGTGGGGAAATTATTCCAAATAGATGAATGCTCCAATATTTGCATAACATGCACCAGCCTTTCACTGGAGTTTTCCTAATACACGTGGCCACAACTCTGGGCACAAACTCTGCTGTTGCCTTTCTCCTAGAAACCAGCAGGGAAGATCTGTTGCGGCAATGGCCAACTTGTCGTGGCTGTGGGCCAGTTGCCTGCGGAGGACAGATGCAGAAAGAATGCCTTGGAGATTGCTGAGAGGTGTAACTACAGTGCTCTTACATCTGCAAGAGAAAGGTGTATTCCCTCTGACTCAGGGTTTGCTTCCAAGTGCTAGCAGGCATGCAGAGGCATGGGGCCCCAGCTAAGCTGCCAGCCCTTGGGGCTGCTGAGTGCAGCTGAAACACTGACTCAACCTTCCTAAAACAAGAACCTTCACTGTCAGAATGCTGCCTGGACAGCATGGGGCACAGGCAGGAGGTGTGCAGAAGAGTATTTTACCTCCACCATAAAGCAGCGCTTGAAAAATCTACAGTTGTGGCAATTTTGAGAAAAATGTGTGCTATTTTGCTGTTTTCCTGTTGTCAAAGGGATTTGTATTCAGCTGAATCAAAGTGATAGGATCGTGTGATTGCTGCAGAACAGATGGTAATGCTTAAAGCTTATCTCAGAAGACATAATCTAAGTACAAAATTAAATGTTCAAATACGGGAGATTTATCTGATAGAAAGCAAAGAAATGATGTTCAGAGCTGATCATTATTGCATTAAAGTGGCTGTGCCTTAATTGGTGTTTATTTCCTTTTAGATGTTTTCTTCAGTGACTAGAATGATTTGAATGTAGGCTAAGCAGAGAAAACTATAGATTTGTTGAGGAATGGCAAACCATGGTTCTGGGTGAGTGAATGCCATCCAGGCACGATGCAATGTCTAGGAGGATCATAGGGAGGCACAATGCTCACTAATTCAGGCACATGGAAGTTGCAGCTGCTGCTATTACATCTGTCAGTGAGAGGCCAGCAAGACAAACCACTTCTGCCAGACTGCATTTAGAGTTGTAGGTTCAGAACAGGAGGAAAAGTGAGAAGACAATTATTTTCTTGCCCTTTTGGGTCAGCATGTTAAGCCCCTGAGGACACTGAAAATGGAGAGTTCCTCCCACTACCTGTTTGTCAGAGACAGTGGCTGTTTCAGGGAGTCAGGAAGCCCACATTTTAAGTCAGTTATATGCTCTCTGTCTCAATCCTTGTCATTCCAAAATGTTGGAAGTCAAGGAGACAAGGCAGAAGGCCAGCTTGACTGAGCAGGGATCTTCTTTTGGAGATAAGGCAAAAAAGGAAGGTGTATGCCCAGTGGAAGCAAGGTCAGGTGACATGAAAGAAATACAGAGATGCTGCTCACCACTGTAGAGAGAAAATGTGTGTGGCTAAAGCTCAGTTGGAGTTGAAGCTGGACAGAACTGGGGAGGACAGTAAAAAGAGGTTTTTTAAATACATTAATGGCAAAAGACAGTGCAGAAATAACATCAGCCTGTTACAGGGTGAGGATGGTCGCCTCACAAACAGGGACATAGACAAGGCAGAGATGTTTAGTGTGTTCTTTATCTCTGTCTTCAACACTGATGATGAACTAGGGGGGGTCCCAGTGCCCTGAGCTGGAAGACCATTCCAGTGAGAATTATAAACTCCAAGTTGAACCTGAAGTTGTGTTGCACCTGCTGAATGAGGTGGTTCCCAACAAATCTATGGGGCCTGATGGGATTCATCTGAGAATATTCAAAGATCTGGCTGATGTCATTATGAGGCCTCTCTCAGGTTTTGAACTGTGTTGGAAATCCAGAGAGGTCCCAGTTGACTGGAAGCTGGCTAACATTGTCCCAGTTTTCAAGAAGGGCAAGAAGGATGACCCTGGAAACTACAGGCCTGTCGGTCTTGCTTCAGTGACTGGAAAATTATGGAGAAGATTATTCTGGAAGGTAGTGACAAACACCTGAAGGACAGCACAGTCATTAGTCACAGCCAGCACAGCTTCATGAGGGGAAAGTCCTGCTTGTCAAACTGATTTTAAGACAAGGTAACCCACCTGCTTGATCCAAGAAAGACAGTTGATATAATCTTTTTGGATTTCAGTAAATCTTTAAAGCTTTTGATACCATTTCTCACATTCCTCAAGGGAGGTAATTGTCCCACTCTGCTCTGCATGAGTGTGGCCTCACCTCGAATATTGTGTGGAGTTTCGGTCACCACAATATATAAAGGTATTAAGCTATTAGAGAGTGTCCAAAGGAGGGCAACAAAGATGGTGAAGGGCCTTGAGGGGAAGCCTTATAAGGAGCATCTGAGGTCACCTGGTCTGTTCAGCCTGGAGAAGAAGAGACTGAGGAGAGACCTCATTGCAGTTACAACTTCCTCACGAGAGGAAGCGGAGGGGCAGGCCCTGATCTCTCTTCTCTAGTGACCAGTGACAGGACCCAAAGGAATGGCCTAAAGTTTTGTTAGGGGAAGTTTAGGTTGGATATTAGGAAAAGGTTTTTCACCCAGAGGGTGGTTGGGCACTGGAACAGGCTCCCCAGGTGGTCACAACACCAAGGCTGACGGAGATCAGAAAGCGTTTGGACAGGGTATGATTCTTGAAGCTGTCCTGTGCAGGACCAGGAGTTGGACTTCGATGATCCTAGTGTATCCTTTCCAATTCAGGATATTCTATGGTTCTACGATATGATTTATTCACTTATTTACCCTTATTCATTTAGCACTGAGTGCATGCAGGCTTATTACAAATAGCTAATGAATCTCTTCAGAGTGGATTTTTTTGTTACAACAGATGTGTTTGCATGACCAAACAAGAAGACTTGAATGCAGAAGCCCTGTAAACTGCCAATGCCAACTTGATGCAGCACTAAGGGAACATTTTGTTACTCCCGTATGAGCATGAGGAAACAAAAGCAAAGTGATCACTTTGTACCCTATTGCAGCAAGAAGTAGAAGACACATAGTGCTTCCTAAATTATGTGTGGTAAAATTATGGCCGATATTCAAAAACTATTTCTTGGCATAGAGTAAGGCCTTCTGCAATTCATTTGGGCTTCAGAGAAAGCAAGCAGCAAATGCACAGAAGTTAAATCTGGTGGATAAGGAACGAAGGAGAGAAACTCAGAGGTTTGGTAGGAAGAGTGAGGGAAGGAAGTGGGGTTATGAGCATGAGTAGAAGAGAAGGCATTGGGGATGAAGGCCTAAAGGCAGGCATGGCGATGTACAGCGTCCTTCAAAGAGAGCAGAGTGGGAATACAGAGCAAAATAGGGGAAGACAGCTTAGGATATGTGTGGTGGGCTATAGAAGAGACCAGACATATGAGGGATGGACAGGGAAGGGTGGAGTCTTGCATACAAGATTAAAACATTAAAACACTTAAATATTTCTTGATCTAAATCTGAAAAATGTTCATATAAACAAAAGTCTTCACCCCCCTCTCCAGCTTTCCTTTGAATGCCCCACCAATCTGCCTTAAGCCTTTTCTAGAAGGACCCACTCTGGAGAGAGAAGTATTAGTTCATTCTACATGCTGAGACAATCTTTGACCTGCCTGCTGAGTCTGCCAAAAAGGTGCCAGTTATTGTTGTACTTTTA